TATAGCAATCACAACCTTAAGGGTTGTGATGTCGAATAGGCTTGCCTTCACAAGACTTAAAGATTAAGGTGATCTTTCCGTTGTCCTTTGTGAATTCTTAAAGCCTTTGTCCACTATAGCCTCTATAATCTTTGAAGATGTGTAGTCGTAAGCGTCCGGTAAAGAACTAGGATGAATGTCCCTTTGTACTGGCCCAGCAAGGCGTATGCACTAGGGGATTGAGAACTGGTGAGGCGAGAGGTGGGGGTAACTAGAGGAGCGCTTCGATAGTTACTGGTAGTTGATCGATGCTCACAATGAGTATCGATCTAGAATCCTAATCGATGGAGGTGGACGCGCGCGATTTTTGAATACCGCTAATTACCGTATGATCCTTTCGGATCGTACAATAATTTATATTATTAATTTATGTTATAATTCATTATTTAATATTATTTATTAATTATAATTAATAATATTTTTAATTATATATGGATTAGTAATATAATGGATATTAGGACAAGTTCGCATGGCTCAGTGAGGCAAATCACCATCCAGTTAGTAATGTCCATCCAGTAATCGTATGTTCCCGAATTCAAATCCCGAGGGGTGAAAAACAAATTATACGTCATATACTAGTTAAGAAATTCGGCAATAACTAGATATCTTTATGACATCATTGCTTTTTTGTTCTTTTGTTTCGTCAGGTCAGCTTAACGTCATATTTATTACGAAAAAGTCTTACGTCAATAAGTGTGAAATAATGGGTTACATGTGACTCATATCTGACTTATATCTTACGTAAATTCTGACATAGCGCAAAATCATTTTGACGTCATTTTGATGTAATTGTGTTCACTGGGATAATATAATATAATAAAAAATATAATATATATATATAATAAAAATACATTTTTATGTATTATCATCACAGGGATATTAGTATCGAAAACTGGATTATGCCAGCAGTGTATGCTGGTCACTTCAGATATTTGATCTGGGTAAAACCACCATGGGCAAAGCAGTTACCTGATGGAGTATTGGAATTTTTCATCGGTAAACATAAAAACACTGGTACTATAAGGTATGTTTCTTTTTGTTTATTCAATTATCTTATATTTTTCTTTTTTTATGTATATATACGTATCCGCACGTGCACGCGTGCACATATATATGGGACATTCCATGTTAAATCGACCACTTTTGACCCCGATCCCTTTCGATTTTGCTGAAACTTTTTAATCATTTTCAACTTTAAAAACTGCTTTAGGAATTTAAAAATTTTTTTTACCCAACCCAAAAAAGTTATGAATTTAAAAAAAAAATGGCTTTTTTTTTGTTCCAATAGCCGTAGTTTTGTCAAAAATTAACTTATCGGGACGTTTTTTCCCTAATTTTTTGTTTTTAAGTGTACTTTTTGAAAAAAAATATTTTAAATTAAATTCTTTAAGAAATTTCATTTTTTTGGATAAAATTTTGTATTTTTCAAATTTTTGTATTTTTTATATTTTTAATTAATTTTTTCTTTTAAACTTTGATTCATTCTGAACTCAATGCATGCCTTCTTCACATGGGCCGACAATTCTTTCTATTCTTTTTTCTAATTTAAAAATTTTCTTTTTATTTTTTCGCAATTGAATATTGTTTTCATATTAAAATAAACCTAAATAAATATTATAAATATTTTTAAATCTATTTAAAAACCTTAGTTTAATTATATGCTATCGAAAATTATGATTACAAAAAGATTGCAATGAACCATTCGTCAATTTTTCAAGTAAATATAATTAACATTTTATTTAGATTTCCTTGGTCGCTTAAATAATTTACAGAATAATTTAAGAAATTATTTTATTTTAGAACAATATACTGTCCGTGTAAAAATTATTTTAGAAACCAATCTTGTTAATTAAAGCATCTTATTTGAAAATAAGTTTATACAGTCCTTTCTCATTTGCATTTATGCGTCGTATAGATAGTAAGGGTGCTGAGACGTTATTTAAGTAATCGTAAAGCATTTGTTAGGATATTTTGTTTTCTATAATTATTTTTAATTTGTAAAATTCTTGGTTAAAGAAGCACAAGAATCAACACACGTGGGTAGATACTACCACATGTTATTAAATTAGGTATAACAAAACGTAACACTTGTTCTTCCTTGGTGAGATAAGCATGATAAAATCATCGTTATGTGGTTTTACCTCTTGCACTAGTCGTTGTATCTTATGAACTTGTCGTAACATAAAAATTAAATATTATATGTTACCCCTAACAACATGAGTATATTGACTTCCTTCGTAAAAAATACTTAAATTTCCTTACATTTTATTGGATTTTTGATCCAATAATCATATTTTGCTCTTATTTTTATTGAATTGCTTGCACACTTCGAAAATAATACATGCTCAGCTGTAAAAATATGTGTATCATACTTGGTTAAATTTTCTTTAGTGAAGGAAGTGAAGAAGAGGATGGTCTTCGCGCGCAACGAATGTAAAGAGAATGGGGTACGGATAACTAAAGTAGCAAAGAGAAGCCGACTTGGTACGCCGGTGGTCATGATGCACTTCTCTACTGAGTCTTGAATTATGTTTCTCGAATAACTATAGATATATGTCCGTGTACAGAGAACGAGGTACACAGGATTATACTGCTCACTAACAGCTATTCATCTTTTTCACCGGAAGACATTTCGGCTACATTTCGAATTCTTTAACAAAGTTTCTCTTGATACTTGTAATATGTGAGAAGCTTTATTAAATAATTCGAAAATTATATGTCTTAATACTAATATATAATATTTCTATACTTATAAGTACATTCTACATATTTATATCATGAAAATTAATATTCGGCAGCATAATCACAGCTTGTCACTTTATTCTGACACATTTCTCAGCTTATATAAACAATTCAGACATTTGACTCGCTGTAATTTTCTTTGTCTAAACCGGGTTCTTATTTGGCACTTAGTGCACGGAGTTTCTCTTTGACATATTTCTTGGAAAATGTAGTCATCTTGATGTTTGATCATAATTTTCCATGATACATGAAAGAAATGTCAGGTGTAAAGCTAATGTTCGAATGGTTCGTAATTTGAAATTTAATAGTGCCGAAAGTACTTGGGGAATTGTGTTTAAGTATATATATAAAGTGGTTTCCTGTATTAAACAAATTTCACGTGTCGCGAAATCATATGGAAATAAAAATGATCATATGGAAATGAAAATGAGAATTTTCATTTAATTGAGCTGCTATTACGGTTTCTCTTTGTCCTTGGGAGCTTTTTTTATTTTGCCGTCGAAGAAAGATAGAAGCCAGTAAGTTAGAAGAAAAATTTTAGGGTTACAATGGACAATGGCGCAATAATCTACAATAGAGATCCTCTTGGAGATTCCGTACCGAATGAATAGGGCATTCGGACAATCATCTCGTAAATTTGCTTTCTTACGCATCTTTTTTCCCTCCACACCCCATTCTTATCCTTCTTCGTTTTGCGTTTCGTGGTCCTAGAAAACTGTAAGATCTAGAATCGTCTCCTTATGTGAAGGTGTTCAGTTGGGTGTCTTCTTGATCTCGTAGTATACAATTCCTATCTACTTTACTTCCTTTTCTGGAACACATTGCTACTGTATCTACTTTAGTAAATTCCAAAGTACTTGAAACTTGGATCGTTTCAAGTGGGTACTGCTGACTTGGCTATCCTTTTTTAGATGTTCAGTGTCTTTTTTATTCATCGACAGATTCCAGGAAGATACGAAGTTAATCATTTATAAAATATAGACCTTACTGAAATTCAATATTTGTTATTCTTTATACTTCCTGATTTTACACTAATCGTCGTTATTCTTAAAAGGTATCAAACCATCTTGAACCCTTTGACATACAATGACTAGTCAGACTAGTCATTCGTTTCATGGGCCACTGTAGACTTTGACGAGTCTGACTTGTCAAATGCTTTTTTCGGCGTATGCCGTGCAGTTTACAATTAGATTACATAGTTGCTTCACTCATGTGTCGATTCTTGTTTGTTTATAACGTTCGAGATGTCCCATATTTCATACAGTAAAGAACTATTAAATTATTATTTTTTAATGTTATTTAGACATTAATTATCAATAATTAACAATAATCATTTAAACATTGTTTATTGTTAACATTAATCTAATTAATAAAAATCAAAATTTCAAAATAAAATGTACTCTTTCTCAGCTTTCACTAACTGTTCAGTTGAGTGAAATTAAATAGTACTTTTCAGTCGTATCAAGTTCCACTTAATTTATATGTCAAGGGATTAAAGATAAATATTTTTACGTAGGAGATTTTATTTAAGATATCCAATAATGATACTTTTTAGAATGCATGGAATGTGATTACAGGAAGGCGTTCTTATATAATAAACCTTCTCTATTCTTACGGCTAATTTCATACCGGAGATTTTATGCATTCTTTAGATTTCTGGAAAAACAACTCCGATACGTGTGGAGTAAGCGAACGAGCGCAACGTATTTCCGTGCTTAGTAGTAAATACCTGTCAGGCTGAGACAGAAGTTGTATATACCGGTATTTTGAATACCAGTATAGTAGAAGCTTGTTGCTAGCTTTCGCTAGTGTTGCGATCGCATAAACCCTATCCAACGTTTATCCGTCGTACACGAGAGTGGTGCGCCAACGTAAGCAGTTCGACGAAAAAGTTCTTTTTAAGGGAGAAATCGTATGGTATTGGCGCCAGAGACGGCGACCGGTACAATCTGTCTTAAGCTCCTACTCCAATAAGAACTAGAAGTATCGTTGCTATCGAAAAAAAGTGCTATTTCGTATAGGTCAGAAGAATCCGGTTTAACCGATTTCTCATTGGTTTTTAGGAATAAGATTGATAGAAAATATTTTATCGTTTCTACAAATATCGATTGAGTCTTGAGAAACATCGTATTGTATTCTGTTTTCGTATACTTCCTACTTTTCTGTATTTGCAGGAAAGAATTTTTTTTCATTTTTTGATTGTAAGAAAGTGCCCTTCTTTCAAAGAATTTTTGATTGATATGAGCAATGAAATACGAGTAATTATATTTACGATATTTATAATAGATTACACAAAAAATACTTTATGTATAGCAACTGTAAATTAATACAACTATTGTTGTGCTCTCTGTTTTTTTTAAGCCTCGGATGATACTTCTGTCAATAATTTTGACGTCTTGTATAGTAAAATATTGCTTTCCGTTCTAGACATGCAAATAACTATTATCTTTAATAATTTTATTTTCACGACAAACGCTTCGCGATTAGAAAAATATTGTTGATGATATTACGTGTAGCTTTTCACGTTGGCACCTACTCATGATCGAAGCCGTTTCGGGCGTAATCGTTTTCTCTCTCTTTTTCTTTCACACGCGTGTCTGGAAATTTACTTACTTACTTACGTACTTACTTACGTGCGATTGCTTATGGAGTGCAAGAAAGAAAAATGTACACACCGGTATCGTGCTAAATAAACGTGGTTACAAATTAACCAACATTCCTATTTCTGTTCTTTTTCGTGGACGTTCCTCGTTCACCGGCACGCTGTTCTTGGCTTAACGGCTCACCACCTTTCTCCTCATCAATCCTGTTCGTTCCTATCGATCTCCCTGCTTGTCGACTTCGACTTCAATACTTCCTCGTATCTCGAATAACTCTAGCTTAACCGCAATGAAAAGCAACACCTTTGTGCATGCTCCGTGTTCGCACGCATACAGATATCTTACCTCCTTTCGATTTTACTAAATATATCGTAATAACGATCAAACAAAAGGTTACTTCTGCGTTTATTAGAATAGACAAATGGTTTGCAACGTTGATTATAGTATTCTCGTAAGCCCTTCGATTGTTGGGGTCAATTGCTTTATCTAACGTTAGTTTAATTGACAAGAACTAATGTTCAACGAACACGAAAAGACCCCATTAAAGTTCCATCTACTCGTAGATATTATAAATTTCAACGGTCTATCAACATGACATAATTATATACCCCTGTCTTTGATTTTAAATCCAAACAATTTAACATGACGTATATTTCAGAATTGAAAAATTTTAATCGTACAT